AATTGTAATATTTTTTATGTGCTATGAAAGACAAGAGTGGTATAAATGTAAAAAGTGGTATGTATGTAAATGCCATAATATTCAAATAGAACAAAGCCTTTAAACACACGTAAATATTGATGCTGACAATCTTAGGTAAAATCCTATTATCACAACTTCAAAGCTTTCAAAAATAATAATTTAAAATTTTTAGGAATTTTTTTTTAGAAATTAATTAATGATAAATATATCGTGATAGGGCCTTTCTTCCTAACATTTTAAAAAATAAATAAATAAATATTTAATTATTTCACCTAGCTTTTAGATAAATTAATATTTTATAAAATTATAACAAAAAATCACTCAATTTCTCAAAAAAGGAATTTTTGAGCATCAGATACATAAATACATAAAATTGTGATAAATGTTTAGGGTGCGTTTGTTTTGAGCTTTTAGAACTGCGTTTTGAACCCAACCACGGTCATAGGCTATTTGGTTTGTGACCGAGTTTTGGATTATTGTTGATTCAAGACCGCGGGCATAGAGAAATTATTACTGTTGATTCACGCCGCCCAGATCTAAATTCGGTAGGCAGCTTGAGAATCGGACACCATCTCAGGCTCCCGACCGTATAATTATATATTGACCAAAATAGTTCTTGTTTTACCTACAGTGCTTGAGGTACAAAATTATAATCTTGCAATCCCCATTCCTATAAATATGGGCTCATTTTGGGATTAAAGGTTACGCGATAGTTATGTTCATTAATGTTCTATCTATGCCATGTTTCTCCCTTTAGCACTCTATTCCTTAGGGGTGTCTCCCGGAAAAATTTGGATTCAACATCTTAAAAGCTGCAGTGAGAGTGGAGTCATGTCGTCAATAAGAAGATGAGCGCAACGGTCACACAATGGGGAGAGAGTCATCAGAGAGACATATCCAACACAGAGCACTCCAGAGAAGGAATGGAGGAGTTCGTGCAACAAGAAAGGCAAGAGTTGAGAACTCGAGTAATGAATCAGATGTTGAGCCTGATCACAGAAGTCCCAAGCTCCGTCACAGCCATAGAAGGAGATCAGGCTCCCCAAGGATAAAACCCTCACCATAAAACGATGTCGATGCACAACGAAGGAAAGCTAAATTGTAGTCCCGAAAGAGCCGATGAATCATAGTACCAAGACAACATTGGATCTCAGCAAGTGGAGAAACAACAGATTAAGTGCATTGAAGCGCACCATAATACCTGTAAGATTTTGATTAGTTTTCCCATTTTTAACATGAGGGAGAAATAAAGCCAAGAGATTAGTTCACACTTTCTATTAAAGTTTAAAGTTAGTGATCACCGATGACTTTTACCGACCACCACTAGCGATTGTTGTAACCAAACTACCATCTTATAGCTATTATAACACATTTTTTTTATTTATGGCTCTTTTAACCTTATTTTTGGGACTTAGGCAAAACTCTATAACCCAATCTTCTTTAATTAAAGTGTGTAGTGAATTTATGTGAACAATTCTGATTGGGCTAGATGATGTCATATTTTTTTTTCGTTTTCATATTTTCCATTTAAATTTTTTGTATCTTCTCTTTCAACGCCTATCTTCTCTCTATGTGTGTTAAATCCTTATGTTAAGCTAAGAAATAAATTTTATTTCATTATCACGACTTTTCTAACACACAACAAGCAATGAGATTAGTCAACAAATACATATCAAATTTGAAACATGAGTATTGGAAAGATGTGAAGTGAGCATTGCACTCATTAAAATCTACAATCAAGCAAGCATTCTCGAAAGTCTTAAGAAAATAATACAAAACATTAAGGCTATGTTGATTCATATCTAAAAGGAGACTTTGACATTAGAATAAGTATCAATGTTCATATCTTCATGTTGGGTGGTACCACGACTAGTTAGACATTACAACTTCAAGAGATAAATACACTAATAAATATAAAAGCCAAATATGTTGTTGTCATTGAAGCAAGCAAGGAAATGATTTAACAAAACAAATGAAGAGAAAGAAAAAAGAAAAAGAGAGAAGGGAAGATTAGAAAGTTCTCACATTAGAGAAAAGAAGAGAAAGAAAAGCATCATCAATATTTTTTTCTATTTTAAACCCTTGTTTTGGGCAACATGTGATCATATTCCTTCACATGTTCATATTCGCATGACATATAATCTTTTTTCATGTTTATTTTTAGTAAACTTAGTAAAATATTTGATCTTTCTACAACCATTTACCTAAGTTTCACAAGCCCCAATTAATTTATGTAGCACATGGTTATGATCATTAGTGTAGCTATTATCTTCCTATTTAGTTTAATTTTATCAATGTTTAACATATTGATATAAGGAGCTGCCCAAAATAACTATTTTTGAAGATTTTATGAGTTAATTATAACTTTTTTATTGTTATTTTAAAAAATTTATTATTTTTAGGGATATTTACATACATACCGTACGATTCTTATTACTTGCTAACTGTCTAAACTCTTATAATAATTTGAGTATTAAAACTTATGCATGAAAAAACGTATTCCTCTTATGTTAATAATAGATATATTTTTGATGTGATGTTCAAGATTTTAGTGTTTTGAATATATATATATATATATGAAAAATTAGGTGTTAGACAAAAATACATATATAAGTGGTGTGATGGCATGCAAATAGAAGCATGGCTGAGCTTTCTTGAATATAGTAAGGAGAAATTCATGAGTGGTGTAATGCAGCCAGACCCATACTTCTGAAAAAAATATTATGTCCGGAGTCCAGACGCAAAGCTGAGCCCGAAAAACGGATGTGATACAGCGAGACGGAGCGGGAGCACGGACCTCTGCATCCAGACTCGATACACAGTATTTTCTCAATATTTCTCTTGTTATTGGTAATTTGACATGTGGATACATGACAGCTGCATTATTAATGTCTTGAAATCAAAAAAAGTTGTTTGGTTCGTCTAACTAATTATTAAACATTGCATCATAATCATTGTTAATTATAGGGGTGTCAATTCAAGGTCTAATTTAGGCATAACTAGAAAATGATGCAGCTCTAATATAAACTCAAGTTGTTGCATTCTGGGAGAATCACGGGGATGAGAATCATGAGGATTGAGTGATATATTGTATTTTAGCATTACACACAATAATCTAATACACATATAAATAAAAGAAGAGTCCATAGAGAAGATGCTAAGAATTTTTACGTGAAAAATTTGAAATGATAAAAGTCAAGGTTCTAGCTCAATTAAAATGAGTTCACTATGTCGATATAGTTTATAAGATAAATAAAAGAAGAGTCCATAGAGAAGATGCTAAGAGTTTTTACGTGAAAAACTTGAAATGATAAAAGTCAATGTTCTAGCTCAATTGAAATGATTTCACTATGTCGATATAGTTTATAAGTATTTATCGGCTTTGAATAGTCATAAGTAATATTACAGAAGTAGAAGTCATCTCATGATTTTCGCTAAGGGAGTGGCGGATTACATTGGGGAAGTGATGGCGACCTGACTTTCATGAAGGAAGATTGATTGTAGAGGTCTTGAACCATAAGTTATGATGCCTGTGTCGATAGGTAACGATGAGCCAATGATGGTGACTCAGAGGCAATGGTCGTGCAGCAGTGGTCCAACGGTGGCGTATACCTGAGAACGGTGGCAGTGATCAAGTAAAAATGATTCGGCAACGGTGGTCTGACAGCAGTGACGTTGGTTGTCGATGTAAAAGTAAAGTCACTATGTCAGCATCAGGCAACTTATCCTACTGACATGTGGCAAAGTCGTCGATGGCGTGACTTCTTTGTCAATTTAATTTTTTTTTATTTTCTAAGGTCGATTTAAATTCATAAATTTTAAAAAATGTCATTTTAAAAATTTAGCTTAAAAAGGGAGGGTTTGCCCTTGTAGATTTTAATCAAGATTTTTCCATTTACTCAAAAATAAAATAAACTCTATCTCATTCTAGTAAGGTACGAGGAAAATCTCTGATTAACAAAAACCCATGAATCCTAAAAATTTTCATTAAGAATGATTATATCTATTTCAAGGTAATATTTCTACCTCTCAAAATGGTATATAATTCTTCAAATAACGTATCTAATCATTTAGATAGAAATTTTTCAAGATTCATGATGAACACTGCAATAAAAAAAAATAAAGCCAACAATCTATATATATTTTTTTGTGTTGTATAAAATCAATTGTAATTTTCAGTGTAAGACTGAAAGAAAGCACACTAATGCACTTGCGAACACATAATGAGTTATTTTGATTTGGCTAAGTTCCATAATTTTTTTCCTTTCAAGGATTTTTCCTCCAAAAAATTTTTGACATATGCTCTCGCTGCTTTTCTTTATATGTATACGTTGGATCTTAGTACAACTCTAGAACATTAAAACACTACTCTACTGCAATGAATTTTTCGGCACGCAACAAATATATATATATATATATATATATATTAAAAAAGGAATGGTCGGAGGCTATTATATGAGCCCCACCTTCATTCATGAATCTAAGAATTCAAGTATCATACTCTACACTCGGGGGGAATCGAAAGCCATATATATATATATTAAAAAAGGAATGGCCGGAGGCGATTATATGAGCCCCAGCCTTCCTTCATAAGTCTAAGAATTCGAGTACTATACTCTAAACTCAGGGGGAATCGAACCCCAGACCAGAGGAGACTTACAATTGATATGTAAATGCACGCCAACTGAACTAAGTACATGACGCTATACAGAGAGAGAGAGAGAGAGAGAGAGAGAGAATCATCAAAATTGAGCTTAAGCTAAAAAGCATCCAATTAAGCAGTTATTTAAGATTCCTTAAGCTTCCATATCAATGTTACTCAGATTAGAAGAAATAGCATATCCCAAACAAAACGTTTTCAATAAACCACAAGGAAAAAATCAATGAACCAAATAAAACCAAAATTCATAAATAAAAAATCTAAAATTACCACAACCATTCCAAATCACCAAAATGATAATTACTAACAAAACATCCAAACAAAACAAATACAAAAATTTACATGCTACAAAGTTCTTAACAAAAATTAACATCAAACAATGATTCTAACCACCCCAATTCCCACATAAATAATACTTCACAATCTAAAATCACATATCAGGAAGACCACCTGTGAACCCATTTTGTCTCTCTAATCCAACATAATTTACAATTATTAACCATGATTACAATTCATACCTCCGGTAATCCAAATACAAAAATAAAGTTATAAATCATCTATCACCATCTTCATGAGCAAATCATTCCAGGCATCTATGGGGCCAGGCAAGCACCAGTGCAGACAGTCATTCTGAACACCAGCATTCTTCTTCTCCCTGTCGAAAGGGTGAAATGTTCTGTAAGGCCCAGGATGGCCATCAGGACGTTGCAAGGAAAGCTCATAGGTATCCAAAAGTTCAAGACGAATTCCGTCAGCAGAACCTTTCCTTTTCGCTCTCCAAAACTCGTCCAACTCCGTCTTCCTCATCAGGTGATCCACATCTCTGCCGGCGAATTCACCGGCAGCATAAGGCTTCGTCCGGTTGCAAGTGCCACCGCTGAACCACTCTCCATTCTCGAAGTGATCAGGTGTCCAGGTACGGTAAATAACCAGCGGCTTATGATCGGATTGTAGGATGTGATCGAAGAGCTTTCTGAGGCTCGTTCGATAGGCATGATCGAACCCCAGCTCAGTTAAGTTCTTCCCGGGGCAGTAATGGCAGCCCACCACCCTGCGGTTCTCCCAGTAGATGGCTGTTTTCAGAAACCACTGACCCGCAGAGATCACTATGTAGTCAAAGTCATGATAATCATCAGTCCATTTGGCGTCGAGGGTGTCGAGGTGTAGTTGGATCTCGGAATCCGATTGGCCGTCATCATTCTCGAATATTTCAGCTTTAACCAGGAAGGGTGCCCAGACAAGAGAGAGGGTGAAGTTGTGAGAAGGGAAGTGCCATCTTCTGGATTTGAAATCCTTGTCATGGTAGACCTCGACAGCTTCCTCAACCTGTAAAAACAGAAAAATTTGACCAATAAAATCTTGAGACAAAGAGCATGACGTCTTGGTGAAAATATTCGGCAATATACAAAAAATTTAGTCTGTAAACTAAAGAGTTGATTTTTTCTCTCTTAAAAAGAGGATGTTACACTCTCCTTTATAGAGCTAGATAAAAAATCAAGAATGAAAACATGGGGGGTATTTACATACATACCACCCAAGTCTTATGTTCTTACATATCTAAAACCTAAAATTTGCAAAATATTCGCATTACATAAAAAATACCACTATTTTAATTTTTAAAAAGTGAAATACACATTTTCATGATAAGCAAGGGGTTAAGGGGGCATATATGTAAAAACTGAAGTTTAGGTGTTGGATATGTAAATAAATAACAATTGAGTGGTAGCATGTAAATCTTCCGAAAAACAACTCCATGAATGTAAAATGGTTCCAAAATGAATAAAAAGTGATAAATAGGAAGTAATGGAGCAAACATGATGATAAGAGACTGTTATCAAAAAATTTAAAAGGGTAATTAGTGAGTCATTTGTGTCATGTGAATTTATAGGTTATTAAATTTACTAGGTAGCTTGGCAGGTTCTTATGGGCCTCAAGGGAAATTTGGGCAAGCAAAAACAAATGAATCAGAACAAACTTTGGCAGGTGCTCCCTCTTTTTCAATTACCTGGAGCTATAGGCATCCTCAAATTCCCTAAACCCTTCTCCCTCATACAAAGAGCATCACGCCCTGCTACCACGATCCTAAACCCAGCTTCAACTCCGCCCAACCTCAACATCATCTTCTATCTCCCCTTCATCTACCACTATCATTTCGAATGAATCAGTTTTCGAATTGCTCAAACCGATAGTAATCGAAATCTTAAAAACTGAATTAATCAAAATTTTGATATAACTGAATCGGACTGAACCTAAATTTAATTGGGTTCAAATGGACAGGCGTGGACACAACATTATAATAAAAACTATTAAAAATTAGATATAAATTAAATAAATAAAATATTAAGAATAATATAAAAGAGAAAATAAGAAATTTAATAACACTAACTTTCAAAAACTAAAATGTCCATATATAATTGTTTAGTTTATGACATACAAAAAATAAGCATATATTATCTTTAGATTACATCAAGATTTAAGTCATTTTAATCTATTATTCATTCAAAAAACAAAAAGATCACTAGTTTCTTTGATACCAAATTCTTATGTATTTACTAACACCTAAATTTTGATTTTCACATTTATGCCCCCAAATCATTCATATCACGTCTAATATAACACTATATTCCATTTTGAAAAGTGAAATACACATTTTCATGTATATGTAAGGTGGCACAATGTAAAATTTGGCACTTAGGTGTTAGATATGTAAGAACATAAAATCTTCCTTAAATTTTACACACAAAGTTATTATTTTTTTAATTTTAATCTTAAAAATAGTTTTCAAAAAATTTTCAAAAATTGTTTAAATATTATTTAAATCAGATATTTCTAATTCATGTATGACCCTGCATGGCTCCTTAATTAGGAGTATTCATGCATTAATGAAAACTACGTATCTTACATTTATAATATCCATTTCATTTCATGGATTCTCCATTTAAATTTGATTTTCCAATTTTTTGGTTTATTTGATTAAGTAAAAATTAAAACCAAACAAATAACGAAAAACATGAATATTGAAGTTACTAAACTAAGAATCGAAATGCATTTTTGAAACAGGACCAAACCAATCGAACTTATTCAATTCGATTCAATTTTTCGATTTTGACCAAATAATGCACACTTCTATCAGCCACTCCTATCCATCTTCCGGATCCCAATCCTTCCATTCGCTACATGCCTCATCTATAAGCCCAAATCTATCGGCTTCGTCCCAAATCCACATCCCAACCAATCAACAACTCAGAAATGTGTGAGAAAACCACTTTTCATAAATAAAAAAAATTTAAGAGAAAATATGTGAGAAAGCGACCTTCAGTAAATCAAAAAACAGGTGAAAGAAAACACCATGAATGAAGATGGGAGTTTCCAGCATCCCATAAAGCATACAGAAACATTAAAGTTCATAAGGCACCTTCGTCGCTTTAATTCAAGACCAAGTTTAGCATCTTCCCAATAGAAACTTGAACACCATCTTAGATTCAGAAGGTCTATATTCATTAAGAAGATAAATTCGGACGAATTAACATTCAAGTTTGGAACATAGTTTATGCTTTAAAAAGGTATCACAACAATTAGATTGACAGAATACTTGACATCAAACAATACAAACAGAGCTAAAAAATGGACATATATTTTCAAGAGCACTTCTTCATTACAGTTTCAGAACAAATTAGTCTAACAAATAAAAATTTATAACAAAACTCTGGGAAGATAAATAAGAATTAAGATTGTAAAGATAAGAAACGAATGTTAAATTAATATAAAAAGAAAAGGTTTAAGCATGTTATAATATTTTTTGTACGCTTAAGTATCAGCAATCAAGAGAGCTTACACAATATTGTCAGCCAGCACAATTGTAGAGGTCTGAATTCCTTTTCCAACGTTAGGCGGCAGTTTGGGAGTTTTTCTTCTTTTTTTTTATAATATTTTATATTTTAATATAAAAATAAAATATATTTGAAGGTGATAGTTGTTTTTTAAAATACTTAAAACACTTAGAAAATTATTTTGAGTTTTTTTAAAAACAATTATTTTTTCTTAAGATAAAATAAAAAATAACATGCAAAAAGTAAACTAAACAAACATGTTATTAAAAATGAACATAAAAAACAAAAACAAAAAATAAAATATAAAATTGATCCCAAACTGGACCTAAATTAACTAGCATTTACTTTGAGTTCTTCAAAATTCACCAAATGATAAACCTCCTTTGAGAATTATACTGCTTCAGTAATAACTCTAACACAGAAAATCAAAATGAATTAGTTCCCACGGAATCAAGCCCGAATTGGCTATCTATCTATCTAGTTTTGGCAGAATTACGAAGGTCAAAATGAACGTGTTAGATTGAGAAAAATAACAATATGAGAGAGATGGTGGGGGTAGTAATTGTTTAAAGATGATCACATCGGAGTTAACCCAAATCATAATTGTAAAAACAACTATTATTGCTAAAAGTAAATAAGAGATTACAATCAAACACAATTGAAAAGAAAAATACAACACACACGACATGCAAACACATGTTAGGGCGGATCAAGGTGATGGTGGTGACGATCAGGGGGCTTGGAGAGATTGCGGCAAGGTAGGGAAGGGTTTCTGGACTGTGGATGAGAAATGACAGCGATTATGGGCAGTTGAACAGCAGGGCGGTAAGGGATGGCAGTCCAAGCAGCAGTAGTTTGTTGTCTGGGGTGGCTGGACAGCAGGAAAAGGGCAAAGGAAAGTCATTGCAGCAACGGCAGCAACGGTGGAGGTCTGAGACAGCAAGAGCAGCAATGAGGAAGGGTTGGAACGGCGATTGCAGCGGGTATGGGGTGGCTAGAAGGCTGTGGGCTATCGAAAACAGCAAGAGGGAGGGTTGGCAGCAGATTCGAAAGGAGGACAAAAAGAATTGTGGAAGGGAGGAGGATGGAAAAATGATAGCAGCAAGCGGGTGTGCTGAAATCACTGAGAACTCGGGCTTGAATGCAGAAAAAGCAGGAAGAACACCATCTCAACCGTTCCGGGCGGCTGCATCAGGGCATGGTGGGTGGTAGTAATGCGGGGAAGATACGGAAGGAGAATAGGGAAGATAAACCACTACAGAAAAGAAATAAGTGGATGCACCACCCAATCCATCGGTTACAACCCTCGAAGGGAGAAAACGGATACCAGCGATTGTCCTAAAAAAAACACACACCAAAAAATAAACCTAGAACATATATAACAAGAGGATAGCGAGTGGCCAAGGAGGGTCGGCCGACTTCACAACAACGAAAAAAAACCAGACTAATTCGATCCAGGCGTGAAAATATCGACTTGATTGGTAGCGGGATTGCAGCAGATCATGGAATGGGCAAATGCTCACAAATAGCTTCCACATTAGCCTCCAGGGGTTGGGGCAGCTTTGATCTCATCCGTCGAAGCTTTTGTCTCCTCATAATAGTTAGTTCAGCCCCATTGAAGGTAGCAGCAATGTGGCAAGCTCCGGTAAGTCAATCGTGTAGGCGACATCATTCTAAAGCACCTTCTGATAGAATATGTATCCATTTTTTTTAGCATAATTTGAGATGGCACTATAGATAAACGAGTATTCTCATGAATCAGTTCTTGAGCCACTATATCTATAAACTGTTTCTCCCGCTTCTCATACTCCATTGGACGTATCTAACAAACAGGTATGAGTCGAGGAATCAACTTGAGAATAAAGTCTATGTTATGTTGAGTCACTCTCATTAGCAACCACTTAGGAGAGACATCTTCTTCTGCTTAAATAAGACTTAGATCCTACTGAACAGGTATGAGTCGAGGAATCAACTTGAGAATAAATTCTATGTTATGTTGAGCCACTCTCATTAGCAACCACTTAGGAGAGACCTCTTCTTCTGCTTAAATAAGACTTAGATCCTACTATAGATTTTCTCTCCCACCAAGCTCCAAAAGCAATTTCCAACGCAGTGGTTCATCTCTCCTATATGGCTATTTATCGGTGGATACACTGCTGCAATGAATTTAACACCCCAATGACTCCATGTGGGTTTCCAGAAATGACATAGAAGAGTCTCATCTCGGGCATGCTAGACCTCAATCAGAGGGAAAATTCATAAAATAGCCTATATATTTGAAGAGTCTATATACTTGAAGATCCTCAAATTCATGGCTCTTTTGGATATCCAAGTCCTGTCATGTTAATGATTCTTGTACTTTGCATGAACACTCATTACCTCAAACCAACTACTTTCTAGATTAATTATTGTCAACTCAAGTGGAACCTCTCTTATGGGTTCAACTGGAATCGATGACGTCTCTTCCTCATTGGCTGATAGCTAGTACTCCTCTTTTGTATCCTCACTCTCTTCCGTGTCTACTATCATTGTCCACTTCTTCAACTAATCCCTGATTAGTGAAAGAGATTGTTCTCCTGGTTGTGCAATTTGATTCAATATTTAGAAATTTGTGGTGCGTAAAACACTTTCTAGCGGGGACAAATTAGGAAAATCAGCTCGCTCCACTTGTTCTCTACTCTAAATCAGTTTCTCCTCAAGCAAGGTCGGCATGGATGTTCTTCTAGGTGTTCTCCGACTGTAAGCTCCTGGGTTTGAACCACGCCTGTAGGATGTGATGGTCACCCAGAGCTCTGGTCAATCCATTTTTAAAGTTAGGTTTGAACATTCAGTTTGTAGTAAGCTGGTAGGAACTGGCGCTGCATGTCCCGTTTCATCTTGGACCAAGTAGTAATTTTACTCTTCCCTTTTTACTGTCGAATAACCTTAAAGTTCGTCCACCACTAAGATGCACTCTTCCTGAAAATGCTAGAAGCTAGTTTTAATATTTCATCTGATGGGACGTCCTAGTACTCAAAGACGCATTTCAATCCATAGCAACTTAATGAACTCATTTGGATCCAAGTGAACATGGAAATGTAGCAAATTCACCTTTACTTCAAAATTTTGGCTCTCCGTCATTCATGTCAAGTCTTCAAAGTGAGGTTCTTTATCTCTGGCATCCGATGGTGGAAAAGATTCACTCCATTCCTTCGATCTAGCAAGTCACTGTTGTAGCTACGAATAACCCGTCTGGATGGTTTCCTTTCCTCAATTTCATCGAACCATTGTAGCACTCAGTAGAATTTCGGTTGCATCTCTTCCAATGGTAAACTTCTAATAATCATTCAACTATTATCTCCTCAGTGACATGATTAAAGATTGGATTTGGATAGGTGGAAGAGAGTGTATAGGGATGTGTAAGATGGGAAAGAAAAATTTTTGGTGGGTGGATTGAAAAATTAGCATATGGTAGGATTTTTGTGTGGAGGTGGGATCATGTATGAGTGAATGCTAGAAACTCTAGGATAGAACTGGGGTAACGCTAGCTTCAAATGATAACGAAGTTAACTGAATTCATAATAGAAAAAATAATTATTATTGCTAAAAGCAAATAGACGATTACAATCAAACACATTGAAAGAGAAAATACAACACACACGATACACAAACCACATTAGGGCAGATTTCAGGTGATGATGATGATGATTAGGGAACTTGAAGAGGTAGTGATAAGGTAAGGAAAGGCTTTATGAACTGTGGATAAGAGGCGGCAACGATTATGGGTGGTTGGAACCGCAAGGAAGCAAGGAACGACAATCCAAACAGCGAAAGTTTGTGGTATGGGGCAACTGGACAGCTAAAAAATAACAAAGGGAAGACATTGCAGCTACGACAACGATGTTTGAGGGTTGGGACAGCGAGGGCAGCAAGGAGGGAGAGCTGAAATAAAAAGCAAGAGGAAGGGTTGGTGGCTGATTCAGAAGGAAGACATCAGGAGTTGTGGAAGGGTGGTGGTTGGAACAGCGTCCGCAGCTGTTCCAGACAGTTGGACAGGAGCAGTGTGGAGAGGATTCGAGAGGAGAAGGAAATATAAGCACCACCTCAAGAGAGAGAGATAGAGATACAGCCAGAGCACCATCCAATCCCTCGGGCACAAGCCTCAGAGAGAAAACAATATCGATGGTTGTCCTAAACAAACTCATGCCAAAAACCCAACCTAGAAAATCAGAAAGGCAAATATATAATAAGAGAATAGCAAAGACGGTCCTAAAAGGGCCGGCCAACTCCAGAAGAGAAATTGTAACGGTTTAGTCAAGACGCAAAAAAAACGGCCCGCGAGGTAGAGAGATTGTAGCAAATCGTGGAAAAAGCATGGTTTTATAGCTGCGAGCGAACGTGAAGACTCTCTGGTAGCTCTTGTGTCAGATAAACTATTGAAAAGTATATTTTACATAGTTGGGCATATATAAATGAGGGCAGTAGATGTAATAATAAAATGGGTAGATAAAATTCATGTGGGAACATTAGGAATGAAAATAATTAGGTCAATTAAAATAGGAATGAAAGTGGTGCAAAATAATTAGGGGCATTTACATACATATCATCCAATTCCTATATATTTACATATCTTAACACCTAAACTTCGCTTCTTTTATTTATACCACTCAAATCTTTCATATCGCATCAAAAGTGCCACTATATTATCACTTAAAAAGTGAAATGCACATTTTCATACATAGTCAAGGTGGCATATTCGTAAAAATTGAAGTTTAGGTGCTAGATATCTAAAATACATATGAAGTGAGTGGAATGTATGTAAATCTTCCAACAATTAATATTTATCGTTGAATTATGTTATTAAATTTAACAGAATAGATGAAACTAGCTGTTATCAATACAACTTTTTAAAACTATGAATACCTACTCAAATTAAGACCATGAGGTCACAAGTTTCCGCAAAATAGGTTTAACACCAAGATCACTCAATAAGGTTGAACAGAGAATGAGGTTTTATAAAGCATGCCCTGAACATATTAGATAAGGCTGATGACAATGATAATTATGACGAGGTCACATGCTTGAAAAAGATAGTCTTGCTACGAAAAAATTGTGCAATGGAATACATTAACCCTCCCAATACGTCAAAATAGTAAGAACCTCGTGCACTTAACAAGCTCATTTTTACAACTTCTAAGTCACCTGTGTATGTATGATCTTTATTTCTTAACTGTCTATATTTATGACAAATTTTTTTGGTGATAAGAAGCGACTAAACTAAATCTACAGGCAAGAAAATATTTAAAGATTTCATGATGTATTCAAACTTATTATTTTCATGTGTTTAATGTAATCAATTCTATAGTTCATGAATATTTCAAAAGGAAGTACTAGAATAAGCCTTGGAAAAATATCAAAAGTACTCATCTGCAAACACAATTAAATTCAATCAAAACAAGCTATGATACGAGGTTTAATAACCAAATGGATTCTTCCACATCAAAGATGAATAACATTATAAATTTAATACCACCAACAAGAAAAGATTATGATTTGCAAAAAAGAACATAATGCTCCAAAGATGCACAAATCCATTTGAAGATATCAAAATTGCTAAGCTCGGTAAAAAAGGTAATAAGGTCTTTAAAAAATTCTACAGTATAAACTTCAGCAGATGAGTATTCTTCAAAAAAAAACAACAACAACAAAGCCTTAATCACACTACGTGGGGTCGGCTACATGAATCCTTTTTCTCCATTGCATCCTATTTAGTGTCATATTTTCATTTAGTTCTAATAAATTAAGATCATTTTTAATACAATAAGCACAAGTCTTCCTAGACCTACCTCTGCATTTCTTAACATAACTCGAGCCTAAAACATCTACTCTTCTAATCGTATTATCAGATGGTCTACGTTTAATGTGATCAAACCATCTAAGACGGCTCTCTCTAATTTTGTCCAGCACTGGTGCTACACCAGCCCTATCACGGATATATTCATTTTGCATTTTGTCACTAAGTGTAAAGCCACTCATCGACCTAATAATTCTCATCTCGTCACAGATGCTTCTCTTTTAAAGGCCAACATTCAGCATTAAAGGCCAACGAAGGCCAACGTTCAGCGCCATAGAGCATTGCAAGTCTCACCACCATCTTATAAAATTTTCCTATCAGTCTAAGCAATACTTTATCACACAAAAGGCCCGAAGCATTCCTCCACTTCAACCAACCAACTTGAATTCTACTATTAACATCCCCATATATATCACCATCGCTTTGAACAACAAACCCAAGATATCTAAATCGTTCACACCTTTTAATAATTTGATCACCCAAAGTTACACTTCTTTCACTAAAGCTACTACTACTAAAATTACATTCCATGTATTCAGTTTTAGTTCTACGCAAATGAAAACCTTTAAACTCCAGTGTAGACCTCGATAATTCAAGTTTTTCCTGGGCTTTTTCTCTCGTCTTATCCACGAGAAAAAAATAAATAAATAAATAAGAAAGCTTTGCAGCTTCTTCTGCCAATTTTTATGGTATTGTAATAATAACAAGAAATCTTAATAATACAATAAGGAGATATAGAAACCAATGTCATAAGCACATATTATTGAAATGGAAAGGGGCATTTACATCAATACAACACAATTCCTATGTATTTACAAATCTAATGCCTCCACGTTCTTATTTGCACAAGCACCATTCAAATCTTTAACATTACATCAAAAATACCACCATCAATATATTTTTAGAAGTGAAATACACACTTTCATGCATAGGTTTATGTCACAAGGTGTTTGTGTAGAAACCATACTTTGGTTGTTAGATATCTAAATACAAAAGAATTGTGTGGTATGTAAGTAAATTTCCCAAATGAAGAAACACAAATTGATACCTTGGATAAAAGACATATCAATGATTGGACATGATTGCGAAGAATTGAATCACCGATTAGCGCCCACGCTTTATTCTGCATTGCATCCAAAAACTTTGCTCCATCAAAAGGAAGAACACTGCAACCATAAGGTTTCCATCTCCAGTAAAGATACCCAGTATCCGTACGTCCGTTCTTCAAACAATTCTGCGGGTCCTCGATAAAACGGCAGCTTTCATTGGTGTAAGGAGGTCCTGAAGGACTTGGAACCCATTCTCCGGTGAAAATATCACATTTTTCTGCAATTAGGATTCACAACTGAATCAAAACATTAAAAAAAAATAATTTTAAGAATGGTTAGGAGCTTAAGAACTGAAAAAATCAAGCAAAATGAAGCGATGAAATTTAAAAACATGAAAATACAGAGAGAAATCATCTAATCAAAAGGAACCCAAACAAGCAAAGAAAAACCAGCATTCTCATTCATCTTAAGCAATAGTGAGGATTTGTTCTTTAGGATGGTTGATAATAGCAATTTTATTCCAAAATAAGTCTCACAGCTTCATAAGCTTAAAAAAAAATTAAAGTGGGATGAATGAACATCTTCATCATTACCATTAGCCATATTCAGGCAGTATAAATCCTAATTTTTTATTCTATTAGGTGTTTTTCAAGACTTTAAGACTTATCTGAGGAGTCCAATCTATTCTTCACAAATCAATTTTGAACTTCTTCAGAAGATTCTATCCCTTTCCTCAGTAGAGAATTAGTCAAAGTATTTTGCCATGAATCCCATCAGTTAGGTGAAATTGCCGACAGCTTAGCTGTTTCATATTTAGACTTCCGACAGCTCTCTACTGAAATATATTAATATTTGGGACAAATAACCCAGTTCTATTAGATAAGAATTCAATGGCATGTACGAAAATCTCCCATCAAAAAACAAAAAACAAAACAAAACAAATTTCTCTCCGCTGAAAAGAAAAAGTAGAAATATTAAAGTTTCAAACCTTCATTAGCAGTATGGATGGATGATGATCAATAACACAAAATAATAATAATAATAATAATCTATAGCCACTTAATCACTTCAGCCGCCTCACTTTCCTAAGCTTCCGGTGTCCCAAAACCAACATAACAAGCAAGACATACCGACAGAGCTTAAAAGCTTCTATACAACTCACCGCTCGTCGCATTCAACAGAAACTCGGTTTTCTTGGCAGCAGAGGGGGTTCCTGCGACGGGGAGAACAGCAGAAGAGCGAAGAAACAAGAGGCGGAATGAGACTCCCACAACTAGGGCTGAAACGAAGAGTTTCAACCAGATCTGATTGCTTTTCCGGCTCACCGTCGGCCATGGCTCGCAATCCGATCTCACGTCCTTCACCATTAACGTTATTCTCTTCAGAGAAGATGGAGACCGCAGAGAAGGAATACTGAGCAGGTTTCGCAATGCGGAGATTCTGCTAATGGTTGCTGCTTTCCGAAATCAGTAGTGAAGCAGCCTGAGAGAGAGAATTGATGAGGGTGGTGGTTAGGTGGTGCCAGAATGAAGAGTTGGCTAGAACGTGCCTGTCACCATAGTTAAAGTATGGGTAGGGTTTCTGAGCAGATTTTTCTAATTAATTAAATAATTATTGTGTATATTTGCATTTTTATTAGAAGTTGTAATTAAACTTTAGTTTATTCAATTCAATAATTAGTATTTTGAATCACATTTAAAGTCCTAAAATTTTGATTATTATTGAGAGCCTCCAATTTTTTTCTTCTTGAAAAATGGCTAATTTCTCATTTTAGTTTTTTTTATGTGTAGTAAAACAATTATTATCAAGCATGAGTTTCAATGTATTTTTAATAATGGAGCTTTCAAATTCAAATTTAAGATCGTTTGGGCCATGATTTCAATAAGTTTTTAGTCAAACTGACTGTTTTGACAAGTTGAACCCAATGATACCAAAATTGGTTCAATTCGGGCTGATTTTACTAAAGCATATTTGGAAGCTTTGTATATCAATTGAGTGGTCAATTAAACTATTAATTTAACATATTTATAGTCCAATCGACAATCTCGGAAAGTCGAATCCAAAGAGTCTAAGATTGGTCCATTCTAAGGTCATTAAGATATTCAAATTATTAAAGTCATTTATGATCAAGGAGAATCAATAGGGACTGTCGGAAGTGTTGTTTTTTGTATAAATCTATAACAATGTTCTCTCTATCCTGAGAGGAGGGCTTCAGCCACTAATTACAGCCTTTATGGTTAACTGTCTTTTTAGCAACCAACTACAACATTTGTAGCTCACTACTAGTACAACTTACTGTGGCCTCTATGGCCAGCTGTCGTCATTGTAGCCATCAAATATAGTCTTTATGACAAAACACTGCTTTTATAACAATCAACAATGGGTTTTGCACCTAACTACTACTACTACTGCAGTTTTCAACTACAACATTTGTAGACAGTTATTGTTATTATAGCCAAAAAAATATTTGTTATAGCCCAATTAAGACAGTTATTGTTATTATAGCCAAAAAAATATTTGCTATAACCCAATTATGATTATTATGGATTAACTATTATTGTACATATGTGATTATCAACACTATAATTCCATTTTATCTAATTCAAGAGAAGAATGGACACATGTACTTACAACCACATAGTGAATTACTCTTGACTGGATGCATAAGAAGAGAAGGAGAAATTCCAAAGCCAATACTATAGAAGATCCAACAAGTAATCACTAGCCTCTATAGCTATCAACCATTGTTCACCGTTTGCCAGCCATTATCAACCATAATATGTCATCACCACCTGTCATCGCAGATCACCGGCCACCCACGACCATTACTTACGATCGTTGTAGTTAAACTATGATGTTATTTCTGATACTTGTATTTTCTTTACATTGTATAAAGACATTGTTTCTAGTAAAAATTTGTAACAATGTTCTCCTTGACCTAAGAGGAGAGCTCCAACCACTGACTATAGCTTTATGGCCAGCTACCGTCATTGTAACAACCAACTACAATCTGTTGGGCTAAACACTAATGGTACAACTTCTAATTATGGCCTCTACAAACAACTGTCACTATTGTAGACACCAATTGCAGCATTATGTCAACTACTACCTCTGTAACAATTAACGGTGGTTTTGTGCCCAATTACTACTATTACAATTTTTAACTAGTCTTTTATAGTAAACTAATGTTATTATAGTCATAACTATATTTTTTTAGCCTAATTGTGGTTATTATAGTTGAACTAGTATTGTACATGTGTACTTCGTAATTCTATTTTATCTAATTCAAGAGAAAAGTGACAATCACATAGTGAATTACTTTGATTGGGCTAGATCCGTGGTTTTTTTTTCATTTCCAGGGTTTTTTCACATAAGGAATCTTTGTGTTTTCTTCTTTTATATGTGTGTGTGTTAGATCTTCTTGCAAAGCTAAGATGATAAATTAATACTATATCACTGCGAATTTTCTGGCACGCAATATTCTTAAGAACATAGTAATTTTTTAGTAATTGTTTTCCATTGAGCCACGAATCATAATGTATGTATGTATTTGTGTGTGTGTGTGTGTGTGTGTGTGTATACTAAAGGAATGGTCGGAGGCTATTAAACGAGTCATGGTCATCCCTAGGTGTGTTAAATATTTGAGTACCACACCCGACACAAGGGAAGATTCGAACCAGTGACTTGAGATAACTTCCGACCTTCAAAGAGGCTGCTCTACCAACAAACCACGGTACGCGCGCGCGCGCACATATATATATTCAGGATATTCAGGATGAATTATTAAGTAACATAATAAAATTTAAATGATTATATATATATAATCATTTTTAATATTTAATCTGTTATAAAAATAACTAAAAATAAATTTAACAAAAAAAATTACTGTCTTAGACTCACTACGAATCAGCTTATATTTTTTTTGATTTTTTTTAACTTTTATATATAAACTAATTTTTATAATAAATGTTCGTATTTTTTTTATTTTTTCTTATGTATATATATATATATATATATATATATATATATATATATATATATATATATGAGAAATTTACATATGCAGCACCAAATTCTTATGCATTTACGTCAAGTAAAGCACTCTCCATATGCATGAAAAAGGTGGATTTTACAAAATATGAAAATAACATACATTATTACTTGAGATTTCCCATTATATAAAAATAAATACAAATATCTATGATGGCAGACCAATAAAATCCATTGTAATTATTCCAAACTATTTTGAGAGAAGTGCTTTTATTATATCCTTCATCACAACCTATAGCATTGGAAAAAGGTCCTTCATATCCTTCATCACAAGTAAATGTCTAAGAAATTTTAAAGACATGTTCATTGACTTCACATACCTAGTTAACCATATAAAATTGATTATAATGTAACTTATTAGGAAAGTGTGCTCCTAGATATTAGAGCAAGTACAATGAACTATAAAATAATCATAAAATAAGGATTAATAACCACATAAAAAACATTAATTTTTATGTCATTTGATTAAAGTGACCCTACGTCCACATCCATAGAGATTAAATGATCTATTTAAAAAGTATCGGATACCACAAATATGAGAGCTTTTTGTTTTTAAGGAACTCAAAGACTCCAATTCAGAGTACTCTAAAGTCTTTTGTTGTTTTTTTCTTTCTTTTAGATGACACCCTTCTTTTTCTTGCTTCCTTATTTTTTTTTTCTATTTTATTATTTTATTTTATTTTCTTGTGGATATTTTAATGAGTGATGATTGCTTTAAAGTTAAATTTCTAATAATTATTATTAACCAATAAAAATGATTTTTTTTAGTCTCTTTATAAATTTTTATAGTAGCTCTATTTAGGACTCTTTGTTATTATCCATACATGACATTAAGAAATCCTCTATAAAAGCTTTTTGATATCCTCCTCTTAATATTCTATAGTTGTTAATCTTAAAAAACAAAGATCTAACCTTGTACAAGATAAATAATAAAATTTACAAACATACAATATCTCATTTGGAGTCTAATTTTTTGTTTAATAGTATTATATATATTCATTTACTAGTATTATATTTGAATACTTCTCTATACGACACTTCTATTACAAGGTAGTTAAGGAATTAAAATACCTCGGTATGAGAGTAATAAATTTGTCAAACTTTATCATGTTAATGTATTATTTTTTTAGTTTAAATATTTGCTTATCAGTTAATGTACATTTGTCCATTGAAAGCTTCTGCTTTCCTGAAATTTTATTATCTAGTATTCTTCTGTGATTATATGGATAAATTTCGTAGCATCACTCTTTTTTCTTAATATTTAATTACATATATTTAGTATTATCCTTACTTTCGTGAGTTACTCATGATTATTGAATCTAATATATCAACATATGTTATAATATCACGCAATACACAAAGTTCACTAATTACGTTCACCTATAAGATGATAAATGCATTCTTATATACTTTAAATGCACTAGAATTTAGCTTTTAATTTGCATATAGTGTCACCAGAGAATGTATCACACAAGACAAAGAAAACTTAATGATATTAAATCCTACTTCAAATCTAGTACATAAATGACATTTGCCAATAGCATGGTTACACCATCATGTGCCTTTAATTTTATACTATCAAAATGTCTAATTTGCTTATAGTTACATTTCACATTCAAATACAACCACTAGAATTTAACTTATATGTGGAAAATACATCTTAGAACATGTATGCTTAGCATGAGCGAAGTTTAAATTTTGTTGTTTTCATATCCATAGCATAATTCATTAAAAGAACCCATTAAAAGAGAAAATCATATACTAAAGAAGTCAAATTCACTAATAGAAAAAGAAAAAAAATGTGTAAGTAAATTTTGATCCATGAGAGGACGAAATTTTTGGGTTATGAATTTTCCAATCCAATATGATTTTTCCTTAAGAAAAAAATAAGTACTCTTTTGATGATGGGATGTGACAGAGAATGGGAATAAAAAATTTCTCTTCATTTGAATTTGAGACCATAAAATATTTCAAGTAAAAGAACTTATATAATAGAATGTGTTTTTTTTTTCTCAAAGATCACGTTTTATTGAAAAAGATGCACATCATATTTCTATATTAGTCCGTCATATAATTTGAAATATGAAATTGGGTCTCTATGCATAATTATTCCATATTTTATTTTATACCAAAAATTTATCTCCTTAATCTTCATTAGAATACTTTAAAAGGGTTTAAATATTAAAATAACATATAATACACATTTAATTATGTATATATAGGCCCACATAATTGATTATTTTCCAACAATCTCTCACTTAGGCCATATATGTCCCTTACAAAATGTGTATAACCTCATGAACTCAATTCTTTTGCAATTTTAAATAAGTCCATTAGTTTATATAAATATAGAAAAAAAGCTATTTTCATTATATTTAGCATGACTAAATTCATCAATGATCACATATATTAATATAACTAAATGACATAAATCAAGTATGAACATATAGCATGAAAATTATATGTAATGTGATATAAACATATCTTGATGCATTCCTATTTTTAATGTAAATTTAATGGTCTTTTAATATCTTCTAAAATGTGTAACCAACTAATAGAATTATTCAATCATATTTCATGGTTGGAAGCACATCATCATCATATGTGTACCATATTATTTAACAATAAAAAATAGAGATATATTAGTATAACATTATGCACCCTACAAACAACATGCCATTAACATTCGGAATAATGCGCCACTTTGTGATCACATGCTGTGGGGCCCTCACATTGGGTCGATGTGCATTTCTTTTATCCTTTGTGATATCTAGAGTTATTTTAGTGATGATATTTTTAAAATGGGATGCATGATCAAGTTTATTGCTTTTAAAATTAATTATATCAAATATATTTTATTTTAAGTAAAATACAAACAAAATAAATATAAAAATAAAATAAAAGTAAAAATATCTAAAATTGATTTGAAGAGATCGGGTCGAAATAAATGAATTAAGGTATGAACTAAAATTTTGGATCAAATTTAATTTGAGCAGTCCCTGGCTCGATTCGAAATCAGATTGTTACATGTGAACTTAGTGAATTTAGCTCGAAGATAGTTAATGTCTCCAAAATTGATTTGAATTTTGGCTTGAATCGAGATCAGATCGAAATAAATGAGCCAAGCTACGAGTCAACATTTTGGATCAATATTTTTTCGAGTCAATTTTGAGTCGACCACAGCTCAGCTCAAAATCGAATCTTTAACAGCCCTAGTTATGTTATGACTGTCAATTTAACAAACTTAGCTAGAAAATCGTTAATCGCTCGAAAATTGATTTGAATTTTGACTCTGATCGAGATCGTATTGAATAAACGAATCGAGCTACGAGCCAAAATTTTCAATCAATTTTTTTTTCATATTGATTTTGAGCCAAACCCAACTCAACTCGAAATCGAACCAGTAAGACTTGGCCTTGTGCGCCCTTCCAATCATTGATGTGCTAGGAAAATATAATCCAATAAATTAAATGAAAATTTATTCAATTAATAATATGATTAAGTAAACATATATATAATTAAATAGCATCAAATCGAGTTTATAATTTTATTATTTTATAAGAGTTCCACTACAACATTTAAAATAGTTATCAAATACTACATATTTTTTTTGCTATTAAAGATTATAAATACTAGAAATTAAGAAATTTATTTATTGCATTTTGAAAGCTACTTAATGAATGAATTAAATAATTAAATTACTATATGTAAAATAAAAGCTCACTTCATTGAAAAAATAATTGTTTAGCCACTCCTATAATATATTTGGATTAAAATTAAATATATTTGATTTTTCATTCCTTGAAAAAGAAAAAGCTAAAATTAGGGATTAACTTCAATTATGAATAAATAGGCCCCACATTAATTATAATTAAGCAAGATCATAAAATAAAATGAGCTCTTTTATATCACAAACTAGACTATAATCCATGACCTTGAGAATCCTAGTTAATATTAGAAGATTTAACTTCATTTGGAAAATACATAAATTGAGAATATGATATTTATTTTAGTCTAATTTGATTTTTTTTTTAATTTAAAGAGATGTTAAAGAGATAAATACAATAAAATTTTAATTTTAAAATAGAACATTAAATTTTGATTATTTCAATTTGAATTTGGACCAAATATTAAATTTTTATTTGCTCCAAACCGAACAGATTAAATCGGATTATAATTCTATACGATTTAGATTGGTTTTAGCAAAAGATAATTTCATTCGATTAAACCGAATCGCACTATAACAAGTCGGATTGAAAAAAAAAATTGTAAGAAACAGCAAAAAACCAATTCCTCAAATGAAGTTGAGTGACGGGTCTGAAACTCAAAACAAACAAAAAACTGTCTCGAATAAACCCTTAAACTTCAATTTTTACATGCATGTCACCTTACCTATGCATGGAAAGATGTACCTCACTTTTGAAGTTTAAATAGTGAATTTTTTTTATGTGATATGTAAGTAGGGCTGTCAAAACAGCTCGTTGTTCGCGAACAACTTGTGTTCAGCTCATTAAGAAGCTCGTGTTTGGCTCGTTATCTTCGTTCAAAAAGTTAAAGAGTCGAACACAAACATCGAACACAAACAAAAATGTGTTCGTTCTTGTTCGTCTCGTTTTGGCTACGAAGATTTATAATCAATTAAAATACTCATTAAAATAGAATAAAAATTATTAAATTAGATTTAAATGATGTTTTCATATAAATAATAATTTTAAATCTTGCTCAAACCCTTAATGTCTTATGGCTACGTGATTAAAGTTATCAAAACGACTCTTTTTTGGCTTGTTAAACGAGCCGAACACAAACACACTTTTTGAGCTCGAAATATAAACGAGCCGAACACGAGCGAGCTGAGCATGGCTAGCTCGTGTTCGGCTAATTTACACCCTTATATGTAAGATTCGGATGGTAAGAATGTAAGAAAATCATAGTTTTGGTGATAGATATGTAAATGGTAGAGAGATATGAAATATAGAATTTCGTCATAACTGTTATTAAAGTATTTTAAGAACAATTTCATATAAGATGCCAAATTTTACAAATTTAAAACAGTCATGATAAAAAAAAAATGTCTAAACATCTTATACAACATTTTCCTCATTTATATGATTATAGTGTCCCACGGTTCCACCTACATCCAAATCATATTTATTTTTTTGTATTTTTTAAATATATTTATTTAATACATTTTTTATATATTTTCAATTTTTATTTTTAAAAATAAATTAATTTAATTTTAAAAACATTCAAAATAATAAAATAATTTCTAGGTACACTGAATGTTTTTAAAATCTAATTAAATATATATCAAATACATTATATTTTAAGCAAAATACAAAATATATATATATATAAATATAATACAAGAATAAATGATCAAAATAATCTCTAAATTTTAAAAAAAAATTGCCTTTTTTTCTCAAGAGGAAAAAAAGGAGCATTTACATACACATCACCCAATTCTCATGTATTTACATATCTAACACCTAAGCTTTGATTTTACACTTATACCACCCAAATCTTTCATATGATTTCAAATATATAAATGATTTTACCTTCCAAAAAGTGATATACACCTATTAAGGTAGCATAGATGTAAAATTTGAGTTTTACATGGTAGGTATGAATTCAGTGGTATGCATGTAAATGTTAAAAAAAGAGAGAAAGAACATGAAAAACCTTCACAGTAGCTAAGATTAGTAAAGCAGCTAAATCATTCATATAAAGAAGCAATAAAGAACTCCACAGTTTAGCTCCACAATAACTTCAAAATCATAAAAATAACCTTCAATGAAAATGCTTATAAATCCAATAAAAACATTAATTTTATTTCATACTAAGCCAAAAAAATAAAAAAACAGCTAGTAATGATGCAAAGCAGCTAAAACGGATGAAACAATGTGCAGGGATCCAGTAACAACAATAAGGTGAGGTTTCTTACCAGTTCTATACCTGAGGAGCTCTTCGGCTAACTTCATGGAATCACCAACAAGTGCATTTGGGAGGGCCATCAGCAGAACTTGTGAAACATTATTATTTATCAGGGCTGGGAAGGTTTCAGGAAAGCCAGAAGCCTTCCAGTCCTCCATTGTTCCAAGATCTAGAACACTCATTCCCAGATTTTCGGCAGCTCTGAACCAAGTGGCCTTTAAATTCGAAGCCGAAGCCGTGCGGGATCTGCTTCCTGCAATCATTGCCTCGGTCAAAATGATGACGTCCGGCTTTCGACCTGTTTCAGGTGCTGTGTCATTGTTTAGGTGATAAAATGACAGCAAAATATTGACAATTCTTATGTATGTTATGAAAAACGACGGCAATAAAGTGAAAAAAAAAGATAAAAAAATTACAAATCAGAAAATAACGCATAGATTTACGTGGTTTGATAAATTTGCTTACGTACACGGAGCTACAGAAGATTTTATTACTTCGAAGAATTATACTGTCGAGCACCTCGACGATTACAAGAAAACTCTCACTTTCTTCTCTTTCCTCTCCTTCGAGCTCCTCTCTCCTCCTTTACCCGTGAGCCACAAAAGAAGAACGAATCGCGGGGAAGAGGGAAGTCCTCATCGCAAGCAAATCGCAGAAGAGACGGAGGGAGAACTTGGAACATTACAATTCTTATTGTATTTGCCGTGAGCCAACGTCTTATATAGAATTGCGAAAGGGAGAACTGCCACTATTTAATTCAATTTCTTCTACAAGCATTTAATAGTGGCATGCAAGCACTTAATGGTGGCATGCGGGCATTTAATGATGACGTGCAAGCATTTAATGGTGGCGTGCAAGCATTTAATTTCTACAAATGGATCTGGGTTTCGCATAACACAATAATTCTCCCACTCGGAGCCTGGGACACTAACTGCGTGCCTGGGACACTACCTGCCCCATCCACTAGCTGTGTCATTTGCTGGTTATGCCGGCTTTTTTTCCTCAAACATGATATCTTCCACCTCTGCAACTCAAACCTCTGTCTTCAAGCTAGAAGATCAACTGAAGTTGAGCACAACTTCAGTTTCTCAAGTGTAACACCCTTTGTCATCATATCAACAGGGTTCTTGCTTCCACAGATTTTCTCAAGTAGCAATTGTTTGTCATCCAACAATGATCATATGAACTAACACCTGATCTGAATGTACTTGGTTATGGATTGAAAAGTTGGATTCATTGCAAGAAATATGACGCTTTGACTATCACTGTAGAGAGTGCCCTTTCGAACATTCTTAACCAATTCTTTTAAGAAACTCTGCAGACATATCCTCTCCTTTGCAATCTCAAACATTGTGATGTATTCAGCTTCTGTAGTGGACAACGAAATTGTATTCTGTAGATTTGAGCCCCATGACAATACAGTACCCCTAAGAATATAAACATAATATGTAGTACTCTTTCTACTGTTAATGTCTCCTGCTAAATCTGCATCAACATGACCTTGTACCTCCAAGCTTTTTCTTGAGAAACACAAGCGGGTTTCTGAAGAGACTTTTAGGTATCTCAAGATCCACTTCACAGCTTCTCAATGTTCCTTCCCTGGATTACTCATGTATCTGCTCACAGCTCTCATTATATGGGCAATATCTGGTCTGGTGCTAACCATAACATACATAAGTGAACCAATAGTTGAAGCGTAAGTAACCCTACTCATGTAGTCTTGTTTCTCTTCTGACTTAGGTGACTGATTTTTGTTGAGTCAGAAATGACTGCCCAAAGGCGTGTCAACCGGTTTAGCCTTATTCATATTGAATGTGCTAAGCACAATTTCACATATTCCGCCTGTGAAAGCCTCAGTGTGTCTCTGACTCTCTCTCTGACAATCCTCATACAAAGGATTTGTTTTGCTTCTCCCAAATTCTTCATTGCAAAGTGCTCTGACATCTGTCTCTTTAGATTATTGATTTCATTAATACCGACCCCTGCAATAAGCATATCATTTACATATAGCAACAGGATGATATAAGAATTGTCAAAGTACCTGACAAAGCAACAATGATCTGTCTGACATTTGTTTACTCTGCATTTTGCATGAAATTATCAAACTTCTTGTATCACTGTCTAGGAGCTTGTTTCAAGTCATACAAGCTCATATTCAGTCTACAAATCGAGTCTTCCTGCCCCTGTACCCCGAACCCCTCAGGCTAGCGCATGTAGATGTCCTTTTCAAGATCTCCATGAAGAAAAACTGTCTTCACATCAAACTGCTCAAGAAATAGATCTTCAGTAGCAATCATAATCAGTACCATCTTGATGATTGTGAGCTTCACCACAGGAGAAAATATCTCTGCGTAATCAATGTCTTCTTTCCGTTGAAAGCCTTTTACAATAAGTCTGGTCTTGTACCCATTACTGTCATCAAGCTCAGTCTTCACCCGGTACACCCACTTATTGTGCAATATCTTCTTTCCTGGTGAAAGTTCTGTCAGCTCCCATGTATGGTTTCCCAACAGAGAATTTATCTCATCCTTCATGGTCAGCTCCCACTATGGTCAGCTCCCACTTGCCACTTGCTAGAATTTTCATCTGCCAAGATTTCTTCATAGCTTTCTGGTTCCCCATCATCTGTCAACAGGATGTAATTCAAGGTTGGTGAGTAATGCTGTGAAGAACGCCCGTTCCTGACTGACCTGAGAACTGTAGCTGAAGTAGTGAATGATTTTGAACCTGACTGCACAATAATAGTAATGGGTGCCCCATACCCACTCTCCTTGTCATTCACATCTCTGTCATTTACTGTGACCTTTGGTAGATCGTCAAACCTCGCGAAACTGAGGAGTTGCTTCAGAATTTGTACTAGTCATATCTTTGTACATCATTTTCTCATTAAAGATTACATTCTTGTTTCTGATAATCTCTCGATCCTGATCATCTCATAAATGATAGTCAAATGCTTTGTCTTCATAGCCAATGAAATAATTTTTTTTTGACTTAGCCTCAAATTTGCTACGAGTATCAGGATTGATTAAAACACAAGAAATACAGTCAAAAGTCTTAAGATAAGAAAATTTGACATTTTTGCCGCTCCAGACCTTCTCAGGTAATTCATAGTATAATGGGACGAAAGACCCCCTGTTGATCAAGTAAACTGCAGTGCTGACTGCATCTGCCCAGAAAGTTAGTGATAGTCTGACTTGCAATCTCATGCTCCTGGCACGCTCATTGATGGTTTTGTTCTTACTCTCTGCAACTTCATTTCATCGTGGTGTACCGGGAATGGTCATCTCCATTCTGTACCCTGAGCTGCACGATACTCCTTGAACCCACCATCGATATACTCACTATCTCACCATCATTGTCAGACCTTAAACATTTCAATTTTAGATCTGTCTTTGTCTCAACTATGACCTTCCAAGTTTTAAACACAGTAAATACATCAGATTTATGCTTCAGAAAGTTAACTCATATCTTTCTGTTGTGGTCATCTATGAATGTGACGTAGTAGCAAAAGCCTCCAAATGATGCCACTGGGGAAGGTCCCCACACATCAGTGTATATAAGTTCTAGTTTTCCTGCCTTTGGGGTCCTGCCCCATTTCAGAAAACTGATCTTCTTCTGCTTCCCCATAATGCAACTTTCACACACGCCGAGTTCAACTGGCTTCAGTTTTGGTAGTTTGCCTCTAGACTGAAACTTTTTCATACCTCTCTGACTCATGTGTCCAATCATGCAATGTCACATGTCTGATGTGTTCTCTGCAACTGTAGTATCAACACTGTTAATTAAACTAATAGTCATATACATCATACCAGTCTTCTTAACCCAAGCCAGTACCAGTGCTCATTTAGTAACCTTTCAGGTGCTATCTGAGAACATTACTGTATACTCTCATTCATTGAGCTGCCAAACAGAAATTAGATTTTTCGTCTGCTCGGAAATGTGTCCAACCTTTTGCAAAGTCCATTTGCTCTTGTTAGAAAGTGTAATTTCAACATCTCCCATCCCCACCACGTTCAAAGATTCTCCATCAGCCAGATATACATTCCCAAAGTCACCTGCAATATAATTTCGAATTAACTCCCGGTAGGAAGATGTATGGAAAGAAGCCTCTGAATCCAGTATCCAGTCGTCAACAGAGTTGTGAACTGCAAGCAATAGTGCATCTCGCACTTCTTCAGTTATAGCATTAGCACTGTCATTCTCAGTCTTCTTAGGATTTTTGCAATTCTTCTTTACGTGGCAATTTTTACCACAATTTCAGCAGGTTTCTTGCTAACCAAGCTTTAATTTGCTCTCGTCTCCGTGTTTTGATTTTGATATTCCTCTATTTGAGTTCTTGTCTTGTGATCTCCCTCATGAATCAACATTCAGTGTTGAACTCGAACAAGAGGTCTTGCCAGCATCCTTCATGCGCACCTTCTCCGCAAAAATCAAATCACGAATATCATCATATTTCATGTCAGTTTTACCTGCAGATTTGTTGTCTTCCTCATAGCTTCCTAAGTATTTGACAATGAAGTCAACAATATCAGCGCACGTATCTCATCATCAAAATCAATTTCAACAGGCGACAATTAATTTGTGATGGTGTTGAAATCATTCAGATGTTGAACGACAGACACACCTTCCGCCATCTTTAAGTTGAATAATTTTTTTATCAGATACACCTTGTTATTCGCCGACAATTTTTCATACATATCTAATAAAGCTGTCATGAGATCTGCAGTCATCATCTCTTTGATGACATTGTGGGCACGGATCTCGACAGGGTTAATCGAATAACCCCTGAACCTATCAATCCAACAGATTCCAATCAGTCTCCTCTATCTTTTCCGGTCGCTTTCTCAGTAACGGAAGATGAAAGTTTCTTCCCATAGAGATAGTTTTTTATCTGCATCCTACAGTAACCAAAATCCGTGTCGTCGAACTTCTCAATCCCCGAAACCTTCACTTCATCTCCGACCATCGCTCTTTCTTAGATCCAAAACCACGACTCTGATACCAAGTGTTATGAAAAACGACGACAATAAAACGAAAAATCAGATCGAAAAATTATAAACCAGAAAATAATTCAGATTTATGTAGTTCGGCTAATTTGCCTAAGTCCACAGAGCTGCATATTTTATTACTTCGAGGGATTACACCGTCGAGCGCCTCGACGATTACAAGAAAACTCTCCCCCTCTTCTCTCTCCTCCTTTACCCGTGAGCCACAAAAGAAGAACGAACCGTAGGGAAGACAGAAGTCCTCACCGCAAGCAAATCGCAGAAGAGACAGAGGGAGAACTTGAAACCTTATAATTTTTATTTTATTTTTCGTGAGCCAACGCCTTCTATAGAATTGCGGAAAAAAGAGCAACAACTATTTAATCCAATTTCTTTTGTAAGTATTTAATGGTGGCGTGCAAGCATTTAATTTCTACAAGTGGACCTTGGCTCCACATAACACAACAATGTATTTATAAGTATGACAGCAAAACTTTGATTTTTACATTAATACAATTGAAAGGTGGCATGTACGTAAAAATTCAGGTTTAGGTGTTTGGCATGTGATTAGATAGGAATTGGGTGGTATGTATGTAAATCTTTCTCATTTCTATTGCATCAGAAGAGGGAAAATGGGAGATGAGAGGCAGCGGATAAATGAGAGTTTGGAAGAGGGGGTGATGGGATGTGATTGTTTCCCTAGGGATTTTAGGAGGATCAGGATGGTGGTTCACAGCGCTCATTTTCATCTTCATGTACAAGAGGCAAAGAAGGGAGGTAATGGGGTGGTGATTAAGTGAACTGCGGCCTTAGGAGGCCATTGGATGGGACCTATTATGCATTGATATGGAGGACATGGACATAGGGTGGTTATTTCTTAAATTATAGGATACAGGGTATATATCGCTCCTCCCTGTGGGCAAGAAACAAAAGACATATATATATATATATATATATATATATATATATATATGCAATAATTATATAAATTAAATAAACGTAAAATGAATTCATATAATAATATTTTTTTCCAAATGCTAATAAAGAAGAAGTTTATTTATTAAATAAAAAAATTATTTAGATTTATCAAATATCATAAAGACAATTGAAGAAAAAATAGTCACAAGGTATTATAGACAATTAGCTTAAAGATTACACAGTTAATTATTATGTAAAAGAAAAAAAAACAAACATCATAAAAAACTCCAACGAATAGATTCACCCTACTCTAAAGTGGATTAAGGGAAATAAAATTATTATTAAGTACATAATATATATGGCTTAAATTATTCATGTAACATACTTCTAAAGTTGAAATTTTCTATCCAAGATACATGCTAAATATTTATATTAATTATTTATTATTTTTTTTTAAATTGGATATGTATAGATGACAGGTCCAACATATGTCAACGCTTGCCGGGCAATTGCACGTGTCTGACACATTATGAAACATCGGAGTATTATAGGCTAGATGAGCGGGTTTACATTCAGTCAAAAAGAATAACATCTATTCTCAAGATCATCACCACCAAATAGTAAAGGAAGAGATTCAGGCCAAACCCAGGCTTTGGAACATGTCAGGTCAAGTCAAATTTAGTCGGTTTGGGTTAAATGAAAATGGTATAGCCCACAATTGACCCAAAATTTTATTCGGTCAAGACAACATATAACTTTGTGCCAAAACTATTGCCCAAACTAATTAATTTATTGATCAAAAGTCAATTTAAGGGCTGAAACAAGCTCATGAATAATGGTCAGCCACGCTGCATGGTCATCTGTAGCAATAAGATTTTATATTTATAATCGCTGATCCTTTGCCACTCATCTAAAATTATTAACAAACCAGAATTGAATAATCAAATGTGTCAATGATATATTTTTCACTGAAAACAATTCTGCTAACATCTCAAATTTGCTTCAAAATCTTCAGAACAGATTTTAAATGAAAAATCTAATCTCTATTCTTACTTTATCGAGACTCAAATTCATTTCTATCTCTACTGGGTTTACTCTCAACAAACCCAAGTATTTTCCTGAAATATGACTTTTTGCAAACTTATGGCCAATCCATTATATTCAAAATAGTTCTCTGCTCAGGAATCTAGCGCACCCTGCTCTGATACTGGTAGTTCTCTTCAATATCTCAATATTACTAGATTGGACATCCCTTTTGTTGTCAATAAGATATGTCAGTACATGCATCAATGTCTTGATTGTCATGTTCAACAGATCAAATGTATAGCTCAATATATCAAAGGTGTGACCACTCTTGGCCTTTTCATTCATAAAAGAGATCTTATTTTACACACTTCTTTTGATCCTAATTCGGCCAGTGATTCTACTGATAAATCGACCACAAAATATTTTTCTTTTATTACTATCTCTTGGCATGTTAAAAAAACTGTCAACAATATCTTGTTATTCTACTCTACTGAAAATGAGTATAAGCTCTTACTACAGCTACCACTGAAATCATTTTGTTTCAACATCTACTAAATTTTGATGTCAGCTGAACTTCCAACGCCATTGTACTACGACAACCTTTTGCAATGGCACTTACCAATAATCTAATATTTCATACTCACGCGAGACATATTAAAATTGATTATCACTTCATTCTGGAATGCATTCTCTCCAAAGATATTTTTTGCATTAGAAATCCTCTCGGGATCAGTTAGCTACCATTATTACTAGAGTTTAATATACCTTTCTTTATACAAGCACCGATCATCAACTTGAGTAGTAGTGATAATGCCATTGCATTAATAGCTTCAATTCCATCTCAGCAATACTCCCTCTTCTCCTTGACAGCAACTCCATTGCATTATACAACTAACACAATTCATCACATCCATTCAAACTTAAGAACTCCTGCCACATGATCTCAGCCTTGCAAGCAAAACAGCTTCTATTAATTCAGGGCAAAACAATCTTTGTTTATAAATTCCACGCTATATAACCATCTATATGTTTTCTACTACTTAATGCTTTCTCTATCAGCTAATGAAAAATCTATCACCTGTATTTACATTCAAATATTTCTCTGAGAGGTGTGTTCCTTCATGTTCACACAAAAAGGGAAAAGCGTTCCTTTCGCCCCCTAATGAAGAAATGCATCATGTTTACGATCAATCTCAACCACAAGCCCTTAGCAAGACTTTTCAATTCCATCGAAGAAAGGCCTCTAAGATACCATATTAACAGATTTCATTAAACAATTTGATTGGCCGTTGACTGAATTAAAAAAAAGGAGAGCGTGCTACAATTGATCTGGCAACTCCCATGCAATGGAAGGCGTGATGCAGCCTTTCTCAATCGGGAAAAATGACGGTTGTGTCCAATATTCAGTTGCTTTTAATAAAAAATAAAAGAGCATTTATATACATAGCACACAAGTCTTATGTATTTACATATCTCACACCTAAACTTTCGTATTTACAAACGTGGCACTCAAATATTTAATATCACATAAAAAAATAACTCTATTACGACTTTTAAAAATTGAAATGCACCTTTTCATGCATAGGTTTAAAGCACCAAAGTGTTATGAATGTATATAAGAAAGTTAGGTGTGAGAAATGTAAATACATAAGAATTGTGTGCTACAGATGTAAATGTCCCTTTTTTTTAAGGTACCATCAATTTTTTATGTGAGTAAATTCACAGGCAATATTGTAGTTGATAAAAGACAAAAGCAATACCTGTAAGAAGCTGCATTGCAAATGCCATGTGATCTTTATCAGTACCCATTGACACCACAAAAGCTAAAGGTCCATCCAGGTTTCCCATCTTTATTATTTCTATCAATCCCTTAGCAGATGCTTCAGTATGAGCTGCATTCCAATAAAAAGGTTATCTTCTGTATTACAAAAGAAACAACAAGAAAATAATTCCCATTTACCTCCATCAACCAGTATGGACACCCCAGACAAACCCAAAGTTTCAACTTCCTTCTTCGTTAAATACTGGCCCCTACCAGGTAAGCATGTTTTCTCTAAACCAGCTTTAATCGACTTGTCCGATATCCTCCACCCTTGATAATGGAAAAACCCATCAATTATGGAGATATTCAACCAGAATCATTTTAAACAATATTTCATAGTTTCTTTAGACTAAAATACTCATGTTACACTTGTATTTGTGTATTTAGTCACAATGTATTAGAGGATTTAATGAAATTAGAAAGGAGTAAAGTGCTAAAAGAGTCCTCTGATTTACATGAGATAATTTTAGTCCTAGAGTATATAAAGGTGCTAAATTAGTCTCCAGATACTTTTAATGGGGGCTAAAATAGTCCTTACTAGGAACTATTTCAACCGGTATTAAAAGTGGTGGAGGACTAAATTCATATTTTTATAAACTTTGAGGCTAAAACGGCTCCCTGCGAAGAATCAAGGGATCATTTTGACATTTTTCTCAATTAGAAATAATGAATTACCTTCGTTTCGAAGACAGAGAACAGCGCAGGTAGCTGTAACAGCATTTTGGAGTTGATGCTTTCCGAGCATTTGGAGTTTTACATCAGGCAAGTCAATAAACTGCAAAGTATGAGCTAAACTCATCTGCTCCGATGATATAATACAATACTATACTCTCACTTGCATGGAAGTACTGCATGATTCATACCAATGGCAAATCCTCCTTAATGTTGATACGAATTTCACAACACTGAAACGGATTTTCCTCCTCTCTTCCAAGGAATTTTGTACTACTCTTAATTCCGGAATCACATGCTGAAACTGCCGGAGAGTTCGATGAAGATGCCTTGTTCCTAATGATATGCTCAATATGTGGCAGCAATGGACCGCCAATTACCACCTGAAATTCAAACGCTTATGAGTTCACAATCGCTGTTGTGTGAAAGCATAAATTATTGTGAAAACCTAAGAGGATCTGCCTCCTTCCCATTGTGGGCCCAGGCCGACCATCCAAAATGTGATGGATGGATTAATTGTAGATAATTTGGGAAACTCATTAATTAGTTTTTATTCTCTTCCTATTTATGTTTATTTCAAAATTATTTCCTTTTCATGATTAGGCTAGATATATTTGGTAAGGTTGTAAATTGGGAGAGACATGTTTCCCTATATGTGTAGCCCTATGGTTAAAGATTGGTAATGAGAATTAAGTGATTATTCTCTCCCGCATTTTTTCCTTCATGATATCAGAGCTACGAAACAAACCCTAGCTCTCCTTCAGCCAACAATCCCTCCTCGGCTCGTTCCTACAGCCACCAAAGCCTCTCCAACAATCTTCCAACACCAAGAATCCTCCCAGCAACCGACGAAATCCCTCCAACCAGCTTGCAAGCCCTCCTCTGCTCCTTATCATAGCCGTTGGACTCCTCCTGCAACTGCAATCCTCCATTCCTGCAGCAAACAACAGCTAACACCCTTATTTGCTTTGAACGTGCATAGGGTTTATGACCAAGTATGGAATGAAGACGTCTAGTTCTAATATGAAGGTTAGTTCTGAATCAGAGCCCCTAAACTCTCTGCCTTTCTCACAAACCATAAACTCAATGGTCATAACTTCTTTCAATAATACTAATCTGTGTTTATGTGCATTTGTTAAAAAAAGAAAGAGGAATATCTCACGAGAGAGAGCATAGTTGCTAAGCTCATTGATTCTAACTATCAGAACTAGTAGAAAAAATAGTAGAAACACAAAAGCAAACTTTCATTAATATTAAAATAGGGTTATAACATGACTTGAACAAAAATAATAACACAGAACATAAAACAACACAAGCAAACACTCCTAAATATATCCCAATGGGTGGTGGAGATCGGCTAGAGGGATAAGGATAATGACCAGAGCTGACGGCAGCCATGAGAGGCGGGTGGTAGCGAAGGGAAGGTGTGGAATTGTATAGATAGCAGGTGGGAAGGGTTATAGGTGGTCGGCAGCGGCAGTGTTATGGTTGGGAGAAGCTGAAAGGAGTGAGGGAGGCGGGCACCAATAATAACCTGCATAAAGAGGGAATGGCTAGATGTCGGAGTGACAAAGGGAGAGTTTGGCGGTCGAGGAGTGGGGAAGAGAAGGTTTGGGGAAGGTAAAAAGGGAGGATACAATCACCACCTCGAAAATGATACAACTGAAGCACCACCACTTCCTTGGATACAACCCACAAAGGGGAAAAGAAATCCACACAAAAATCTAAGAACAAACACAAACACTACTGACTCCCACACACGCAAGGCCATCAATTTATAAACTCCCAAGAAACTTCTACACAAAAGAAAATGATGGGAAGGCTAGAAGGATCCAGAAAAACCCTTTCCGAAATTCCTACAAGCGTCGCCCGCCCTAGTTCTCGAAGGATCCCGGGACATCGCGCAAGAAATGCAATCATGCCCTGCCTATAGTTCTTGAGAGCCTTCGTGGGTCATCTATCCCACGAGATTGAAGCGCTCCATATTGTGGCACATTTAGCGCCCGTACTATCCTTCTGATTTCAACACTCGTGTTCGTCTCCTGAGGTTGGGGGAGCTTCGACTTCATAGGTCGAAACTTCTATTTCGTCGTCAATCTCCCTAGATCCCACCGGTGCTGCATTGTCGACCGAGGTATTTGAGAGGCTTCCCCAACTTGCGAGCCAACGTCCATATCGATCTATCTTCCTGAGGTTGTGGACCACATTTACATTATTGAAGATTCCCAAAATAATCCACGATCGATTTAAACGGGCGTGCAGTGAGTTTGACCCTTCTCACACAACGGGGGTGCTGCTGGTATGACATCGGCCTAACAAAACATCGGTCTTATCTGTCTTATATCTGGGGACCTCTTCTCTCGGTCTTCTTTAATATTGGATACCAAAAAGACGTAGTCAATATTCCTCGTCACTATGATATTCTCTGTGAAATGGATTCATCTTCTCGTCTCTATGTTCTCTTTGACTTTCTCGATCATGGTCGAAGGTAACCTCTTCTTAGTTCCTATCATCTAGCTCTGCAAGTCTCTGTTGTAACAACGAATTTCTCGTTGAATCTCTTCTTGGGTCAAGTCCGGTGTACCTCTTCGTAGTGGTATGGGTAGTGTTAGAATCGGAAGAAAAAAATTGGTGGAGGTGGTTTGGGTAGGGATGGATGCTAGAGGATGATACTAAGATTGGACTAGCTCTAATATCAAATAATACCGGAACTAGTAGGAAAAATAGTGGAAACACAAAAGCAAACTTTCATTAATATTAAAATAGGGTGTATGACTTGAAGAGAAATAACAATACAGAACATAAAACGATACAAGCAAATACTCCTAAATGTATCTGAATGGGGGTGGACATTGACTAGGGGGATAAGGATGATTGGGAGGAATGACGACAACCACGGGAGGAGGGTGGTAGCGAAGGGAAGATGTGAAACTGTATGGACAACAAGTGCGAAGGGTTGTAGGTGGTTCGCATCGGTAGTGTGGTGGTTGGGAGAAGCTGAAAGGAGTTCGGGAGGCGAGACATTAGTAATAACCTGCAGGAAGGGGGAATGACTGGGTGTCTATGTGACGGAGTGAGAGTTCGGCGGCTGAGTGGTGGAGAGGAGAAGGTTTGGGGAAGGTAAAAAGAGAGGATACAATCAACACCTCGGAGAGATACAACCGAAGAACCATCACCTTCTCAGATACAACTCACAAAGTAAAAAAGAACTCCACACAAGAATATGAGAACAAAAACAAGCACTACTGACTCCCACACACACAAGGCCATCACATGAGAATCGCGATCTCGCCCTACCTACAGTTCCCGCGAGACTTCGCTGGTCTTCGGGCCCACGAGATCGAAGCGCCAGGTATCGGGGCGCTGATTCCAGCAACCATGTTAATATGGTCATGTCTTAGCTAGTCAACTCAATGACCACTAAAGTGGAAAAAATTTCTTGATCTACAAAACAACCAAAGATATTTCGTAGGCTTCAAGAGAAATTTATTCCAACATTGAGAATACTACAAAGTTGTTTGAGATCGAAACCAAACTGCATAATCTTTGTCAAGAAGAGCTAAGTGTCGCCCAATATTTCAAAATCTTGATAAAGTATTGGCTACAATTGGATATGTTTGAGACATGTGTTAAAACTTTCACATGATGCCATGATGTATAAATCCATCATCGAGATAAAGAAAACTATAAAATTCTTAATGAAACTAAGGAATTGGATGAAGTGAGAGGGAGGAACTGTCGGCGCTAAAAAAGAAGGGGGAAAGTTAAAAATTGGTGGGTGATTTAGTCAAAAGTTGTCCGTAAAAAACTGTCGGTCGCTGGAAGTGAAGTCCCGTCACCTGCCTCGGAAGAACGTTTTAATTTACACACACACACACACACACACACACACAAACAG